TTTGTTTGTTCAGTAAGCACCTCTCATGCCTGAAACAGTTTTGACTTGAAGAATGTCACTCATTTTTAGTGTATTGCCAATTAACATCAACTTTTTATTACTTTGGTTATGGAGAAACAATTAAACACTTAGGACTTTAGTCCACCTTTCCCAGGCTTAGTTTCAGCCTAGTCCCCTGTCCTGCCCTGTGCCCACTATCCAGCACTGGGGTCTGCACTGCACAGGGCTCTGCCTGTCTCAGGGCACTGCACGGATGCCCTGAGAGTCAGCAGAGCAAAGGCAGCTGATCTGGACTAAATGTTGGGATTCGGATGCAGTGAGCAGCAGGTCCAAAATGCTTGATTCTCCTCATTGACTATGGAGGGGGGTTTAGCACATGTCCTGATTGTAGGCACATGTGCTGTGCATTTCCTGGTAGTTCAAGTAACTGGAGTTACGGACTAGTGGAGTCTTTTACATGAAAACAATGCCTTTCTTGAGTCACACTTGCTGATTTAGCCAAAAAATAATGGTGTGTATGGAAGAATTCTGGATGAAGTTTCCTGGTAATTGCTACCAGGTTTGGACAACTATACCTCCTTCTGGCATTAAAGTCTATAAAAGTCTCCTGCAGCTGATCTCACTAATGAACCATAGCCCCAGGATGTGACTGCTGCCTCTGTCACTAGAAAATAGGAAGAACTGGCACTACTGCAGCCAGAGCTGGCTTCCAGAAAAACTTCATAGAATTTAAAGCATACAGGTGTATTATCTGCCCTGGCTTCTTTCAAGTAACACTATAAAATTTCACTTGAAAGGAAGAAGAACTTCTGGTAGCTGGGCCACCCTGTTCTTTTGCTCAGTGTGAGCTCAGGAGGCATGAGACCTGTTCAAATGGAACCAGCTTTTGGCAAGTGAAGCCAGGGCTTGCTTGCAGGGGTTGATTCCTTTTTTGAGAAATACCTTCTTTCCTAAGCTTGATTACAATGTTTATTTGGGACATCATAACAAAAAACTGAATTTGATTTCATATTTGTTGTGGCAGGTTGCAGTCAAGTGAGTGGTCATCTTCTTTAAGTGCCAGCATTGATATGACTCCAGGTCACGAGCAGTCCTTGCTGATCGACTCCATGGATAATAATTCCAGCAGAGTAAGCATTTAACATTCACAGCTGTCAGTTATGTGAGCCCCAGCTGATTCAAGAAACTGTGAACCTACAGCACTAAATTTCCTCTGTAGACACACATAAATCAGTCAGGGACTGTATAGTTTTTCTGCTCTCACCATGCTGGAAACAAAACTGGATGGGGATGTTCTAGAAGAGCTGAAGGACAGGTTTATGGACAGCCTGCAGAGAGCAGGGGAAGGGGAACATTTCATGAGCATTGCCCTAGTGTTAGGATCTGACAGTGGAGCAAACTGGGGAAGGTTTATGCTCATTAGCTTAAACAAGCTTATCTCCACGGTCTGGAGAGCTCTGAATGAAGGCAGCTGGGGCCACAGCCATTCCTTGTAGTGACTGCTCTCTCTTTACTTTTCCAGACCCGGAGTACTCCTGGACTACGACGCCTGTTACGCTCTCTCTTCCACTCCCGGGCCCACTTGCCCCTGCTAGTGGCCATGTATCTGCTTGCTCTCCATGTCCTGCTCTTCCTGTGCTTCACAGGCCACCTGTGAATAGAAGTGACAGCTTTTCCTCGAGCCTCAGCCCTGTGCATGCTGAGGGCCTGCACGCCCTCACAGAAGGGCAGCACTTGCCCAAGCTGCAGCCTTTCCCAAACCAGCCCTGAAGCAGCAGCTGCACCCAGCACCTGCTGTCAGTGCTGGTGCTGGGGAACTGCTCCCAGGAGATCTGCCCTTCCCTCGGTGTTTCTGAGTGGTTCATCTTCTGAGCCAGGGCTGTGCTGCAAACCTCAAGGACAGCATCTGTTCCTGTACCTGGAAGCAGTACCACTCATTTTAGATAGTATTGTGCTGCAGTAGGAATAAGAAAAATACTCTTTGAGTTGCTGCAGTACTTCAGCACTTCTAAAACTGCACAATCTTAGGCTGAATCCATGTGTGGGGTTGGGAGAACACTGTAGCTGGATATAAAAGAATTGTCTTCCCTTTCTTCCACCCCTTAGATTTGCTCCATGGCTCGAGCTGTCTGAAATGCATATCCTAAGGAAGTTATGGGCACTTTAAGGCATATGAATTTTAAAGTCATGTTTCCTGCTCAGTTGCATCTCCTGTTGAAGAAGGGCCAAAATTAATATATCTGGCCCTGGTGAGCATTCCATTTAAAATCAGTCATATGTCTGCCCTGACAAGCCTGTAAAATAATGCCAGTAATTTAGTTATTTAAAAGGAATAGGAAACATGAAACCTTTTAGCTCTTAAGTTAAAAATCCTTCTATTTATAGCATTTGTGCACCTCTTATGATGGAAGGTGCTGCCTTACCTCTAGTAGAGCAGCCCTGCTCCTGCCTTCTCATCCACTAAATAATCGTCACAAGACTGAACCTGCACAGGCTGTGTTGAAGGGGTCCTTAGTGTGCTGCATGGACCCAAAGCAAATGCAGAAACTCCAGAAATAACCTCTCTCCCTTGTGCTGAGGAAGGAACCAGAGTTCTGGTTTTAGAACCCTCTGGTGTAGAAAGCTGGTGCTGGTGTTTGGGCATGTTTGGACCCAAATCAAATCATGCAAATGGACTGAATCTTTTACGATATATGGAAATATGGATATATTTCCATATGTTTTCTAAAAACCTCCTGAATTTGAGACTGCCCTCTTCCAAAAGGAGAATGTTGAATGCAGAGGAAGTTAAGTGGCGTTCGTTGTCAGATCCTGAGTGGTCGTTTCATTCAGAGTACTGGCCAGGAGAATCCTATCTGCCTCTTAGTAGAGCATTAACAGTCACATTTTTTCCCATGGGAAAGAGGTAGTTCTTTTGATATTGCTGGTAAACTAAGCTGCTCTAGCCAGTGCAGAAAGCCTGTTTGAGGGTGGATTGATTTCACTGGTAGCTAAACCAGCTGGATCTCTGGCAGGTCCAGAGCACTGGCACTAGGTATCCTCTTGTGGACTGTCTGTGATTATCAGTGTGAACTTCCTCTAACTATGTCAAATTCAGTGACCAAATGGTTTGTGTATAGCTTCCTGGGGTATGAACTCCTGTATGTATAATAAAGTTTATTTTTCAGATGGAGTTTGTGTAACATTGCCATGTAACTGTGCTAGTGGAGGGTGCAGTGCTGCTGTATCAGCACAGCTCGTGTGGGACACAGTGGGACTGCAGGTTTCCTTTGTGTGCACTGCCTTGTATGATGGTTGCAGAAGCTGTTTCTTTATGCAGTGTGAATGCCTAGGTGATGACTTTTTTTCCCTATCTCACCTCTTGCTCAGCCTTTTTCAGCTGACAGAATAACGAAATAGCACTTGAATGGGCAATGTCTCATGGCAGGGATGTGTGGAACTAATGATTTTAAGATCCCTTCCAGCCCAGACCATTGCATGCATCGTGAAAGCGATTCCAGTAAAACAATACCTACTTGGATTTGTTTTTCCACATCTGCCTGAACACTGCACCTTGTTAGAGTTATGTAACCTCAGGACAGATAGAGAAGTTGGCAACAGTGAGCTAGAGTGTGCTGGTCATTCAGATGGGACAGTTCAACTGTCCAACTTTCTGTAGCCAAAAACAGGTACTCTTGTTCACAGTCACTGCTACAGTCCCCTACCACCACTGGATCAAAAGCCAGCATTGGGGTGTTGTAAGGCTGTAGATAATGTTTCCACTGTGTTTAACAGCAGCAAGGATTGTAAGCAAAGTATGTTTCCTTAAAGCCCATGCATTTTTTTCCTGAACTGAAGAAAGGCATGATTCTGATGCCTCAGATACATTTAAATGTTTTATACCTACAGACAGAACAGTTATAGCTTAGATTAAATATAGGAATAAAACCTCAAAAGGACCTCCTGGTCTGCTAAGCATAGTCTGACTGAACAGCTTTGTGGTTTGACCTGATGAAAGATGGGACCTTTTAGCTGATGGTTCCTATCTCAAATATTTCAACATTTTTTTTCTTCTCCAATGGACCTGTTCTGTCTTGATTTTTGATCTACAGTGAAGGCTGAGAAGGAAGCTCACTCAACAAAGCTGTGCTCTGTCATCCTCAGACACTCACACCAATTCAGCAGCACCACTGCGGCTGGGACAGGTCTGGTTATGTGCCCAGAGGAAGGCAATGTCAGGGGTGTAGGGAGGAGTGGATACAAGTTACTGCATGGAGCTCTAAGGGGTGTCTTCCTGATCCTCTCAGATCCCTTTACAGGACAGGTGTAAGGATCTGGGAATGGCCGACAAAGCTCACGATGAGGTGCAAGGAACCTGTGCAGGTGCCCTCACCGAGGGCAGATCAACCCACCCCTGATAATGAGAGCTGCATTAAGGCCAGTGCTGAGGAGAAACAACGGAGGCTGCAATCACAGGTAAATTGCTCCTGAGCACAGTGAAAGCACCCGTGTGCTAGACTCTCTTCCAGAGTTCTTGCTGCCTCCCAGGAGCCCGAGACACAGATGTCACCGGACAACTGGCTTCAGTTCAGTGCAGCCTTTGGACTGTGCCCACTCTGGTTCTCTCATGTGGGTACTGGTGGTGTTGCAACAAGAAGCCCAAGTTTGATCAAAAGTTTTCAGGCCGCTGGGCAGAACGGGAAAAGGTTCAGGAGCACGGTTAGCATTCTCCTCAATCCTCCAAGTAATGGGGAGAGATATTGAAAGTAAAAGGCATGCTCAAGACCTGGCTTCAGGATTTGTGCCTCCACCAGAACTTTGTTTTTTATACCCATGCAAGAGTCTTCTTGAAAACACAAGTGTGCTGGGACCTGGTGGGCTCCAGTGTGCTGATGTGTGCTCTCTGTGTCTGCACTGCACCAGTGTCTCAGGGCAGAGGCAGCCTGCAGGGGAACGGCAGCACTGGGGCCAGCTCTGGGACTCAAGACTTGAGCAGAGCTGGGGGCTGGGCCGCAGGAAGTGAAAAGAGCTGAAGTTAAAACAGGAACCCAGAGCAGACACAGGTCCAGAGCTGTCACTGGCAGCAGGTGCCTGAGCAAAAAGCAGCAAGTTTGCCAGCAGGAACTCGTGAGCCTTTAAAGGTAAGAAAACTTGAGGGGGTTTTGGGAGTGGAAAGTGAGAAATTACTACAAAAAAGTATAGTTTTCGGTGGGCAAAGAGAACTTCCTGAACAAGCATGTCCAAGTGGATGCTCAACATTTATTTCTCAGGCTATTGTCTTGTCATCATTGTGGTTCTTGTGTTTGAGGCTCTAAAGAACCACGTTTCCAACTCTACCAGCAAAACTGTGCTGTCTGGTAGCCCTGTATTTGTGCTGTAGTGGATGTTTTCCTAGGGGAAAATGGGACAAAAAAGGGTTGAGATGCTACCCTGGCTGATACTTCTCATATGGACAGTGTCCAGAGCCTTGTGATGCGATTACAGCCTGTGGTTTGTCATGGTTCCCACAATGCATGGTAGGTGGCTTTGGAAAATGGGTGGTCAAGAACCATTTTCAGCAGTATTTGAAACTTTGAATCATCTTATTTGAGCTGAAATCAGCTGTCCTGATGATGAGCAACCCTGTGCTAGCGGGTTATTATTGCTGGTTTATGCTTTACAAAAATGAGCAACATTAAAAATCTTTGGCATGAGAGATGCCAATAAATGAGAGACAGGAGAAGGAGAAGAAAGGTGTTAGAAGGGGTTGTGTTGTCTACATGAGCCTTACCACATCCCCTGCTTCTAATTGCAATTAACTGTATCCTGTTTGGCACCAGATTGCTGTCAGTTGGCAAAGTCACAGACTGGCTGTGATCCTGAGGCACCTGGAGAAAGCCTAAAACTGGGTCTTCACTGTATCTGCCTTAGCCCTTCATCTTCTCTCTTAGCAGACTACCTGTTCTTGGTTTAACAAAAGAAAGAATCATGACTGCTGTGCTTATTTGGTTTCTGTTCTCTTCGTTCCCTGATCTTACAGTGCTGGTTCTCTGGAAAGGACAGCTCGAAACTGAGCAGTGCATTGCACTAAACTGGAAGGTTATTCACTTAAGCAGCTTTTGATGTGGGACAGTTAATTACTTAGCATAAAGAGAGAATTATTAATTATTAAGCATAAACAATTTGCTTTCACAGAGGGCAACTGCCCCAAGAGCTCAGGGCTGTCTGAGGCTTCCACACAGCTGTGGGAGTGAGGGGTTAGCACAGCTGAGCAGCACATGGTAAAAGCTGCTGTTAACTGAAGACCCAGCACAAAGGAGCTCTCTTCTTTCCTGCGCATTCTCTTCCATCTTTCTCTATCCCACAAAAAAGCTGCTTTGGGCGACACAGAGAACTTGCAGTTCCTCAACACTGCAGGCAGAAAAAGGGGTGGGATATGAAGGGATGGAGCTCTGATGAGCGTGATTGCTCTGGGGTGTAGGGGCAGCAAACTAATCTTTTCTCTCTGTCTCTCATTTTGGAAAAATGCAGTTGTTTCGAGGGGGCTGTTTCACCATGATTTTTCACAGTCACCTTGAAAATGAAATGCAGCAGTTTTAGATTTCACATTACTTTTAACTTCCTCTTCCTGGCCCCATCACTTCCTCCAGGCCTGCAGCAGCAGTTCCACCACAGCCTCAGCCAGTTTAGCCCTACATCTTCAGTGCTTTCAGCCCCATTTCCCGTTTTCTCCACGTGACAGACATGAATACCACACAGCACAAGGTCTGTCACACCACTGTCCAGCCTTGCTCTGACCCTTCTCTAGGCTATGGCAGGGATTAAAAGGTTGAAAAGCAGACAAGAGGCTGGAGGAGTCCACCTCAGTTCCAACAGGACAGTGTCACGGTGTTGGAGCACGCCATGGTGTGTGCAACTGAACTAAGAGCAGGGGTAACTCAGGGAACAGCCTCCCACAGCACAGGAATCAATGTGTGTTGGAAAAGCAGAATCTGGTAATTGGACGCCAGCATTCATTTACGTTATAATGTGTGTGCTCCTACTGCAGAGTCAGGGTGCATGAAGGCCATTGTTCACACCTACATGCCCCGTGTGCTTTGCTGTGAGATGTTCTGGGGCTCAGGAGCAGCTACCTGGGGGTGCCCTGTGCTACATGAGGGACAGATGTGTGAGGACAGGTGGCCTGTAAGGACCCCTTCCAGCCCAGGTTCTGCTGTGACTGGTGGCCACGCAGGGTGACAGCATGTCTTTGTTGTGCAGATGTGGAAAGCAGTTGTGGGACACAACGTGTCAGTGAAAGTGGAGGCTCAGGGAGACGACTGGGACACAGACCCCGATTTCGTGGTGAGTGTTTGAGGTGCAAACTGTTACACGGATGGTGTGAAGAGCTCCTGGCCCTGGGCTCTTGCTGCTGGGGCAGGGCTGCAGCACTGCTGGCAGGGCAGGATCAACCCAGTGCCATCAGCCCCTCGCAGGCACTGTCAGGTCACTTGTCTGAGCCACTTCTGACACATCTCCAGGTTTAGTCTCCAGAACTTCCTACACCATTGCATACCTCATGTCTGACCACAAGTAATGGCACTTAAGAAATACAAAATACGCAGGGTTTCTCAAACCTACTTGTTTAAGAAACTCCCTTTTTACAAGGGTAACTCCCTTGTCCTCTCCACAACATATGTTACAAGACACAGCAAACAAATTTTCTCTGTCCCACACTGTTTGTAACTGTACAGGATGCAGGATTTCCCTCATTTATCTTTTTTCCAGATGTAAAATCCTACTGTGCTTACAGTCAGCTTGTGCAGGTGCAGCTCTGTGCCTCTTACATTCTTGTTTTCTATCTAGTTCAACTCGGAGTTGAGCTGGGGAGACAGCAGAAGGGTTCAGCCTGGGGAACCCTCTGCATTCATACAGGATCACTATTTTAATTTTCCATTTGGTTCTCTATTACTTCCATAGTAAGCTTCTCCTGTTGGACAAGAGTCCTGTGTTTGTGGGGTTCAGTCTTGCCTAATTATTTCCAGTAAGAAATTCTAGTTTGGGGCAGAAAATCACATTCCTTTCTTATACTTTCAAGTTATTAATGGTTTTGGAAAAATCTACACTGTCAAATTTTTTTGCTTACTTTATTTCTTCTATTTGTGGAAGCATTCAAACAAAGCGTGAACACAAAGACTTTGTCTTAACTTTTTCATTCTATTTCATATATACATATTTTCAGCTTTATTGCATATTAAGAAATACTTTATTGATGCTTCATTTTATTGAATATATGTTCAGAGCTTCCATAAAGCTACAAAACAAGGCTGTGATGGCCAGGCCCGAGGGTTGGGGTCACTGTGGTTTCTCGAGCGATTTCCCCAACAGCGAGCCCCAGCTCTATGGAGTGCGCCGGAGACCCGGCCCGGCCCCGCCCGGCAGGGATGGGGTGCGGGACCCCGGGGTGCGGGACCCCTGGGCCCGGCCCGGCCCGACGGAGAGCAGAGAGCCCCGTGCGGGCCGGGGCTGACGGCCACGTTCGTCCGCAGAACGACATCTCCGAGCGGGAGCAGCGCTGGGGAGCCAAAACCATCGAGGGCTCCGGCCGTGCCGGGCACATCGAGTGAGTGTGGTGGGACCGGGACCGGGACTGGGACCGGGGCGTGGGGAAGCGGCCCCACGGCACAGAACGGGCCCTGCCGGGCACAGAACGGGCCCTGCCAGGGTCGGAACGGGCCCTGCCCGGGACAGAGCGGGCCCTGCCGGGCACAGAACGGGCCCTGCCCGGGACAGAACACGCTCTGCCTGGGACAGAACGGGCCCTGCCGGGCACAGAACGGGCCCTGCCAGGGTCGGAACGGGCCCTGCCAGGGTCGGAACGGGCCCTGCCCGGGACAGAACGGGCCCTGCTGGGGCTGCCCGGCCCTGCGGAGCAGAGCGGGGTGACACCGCGGGCACAGCCGGGTTGGTTTGCGGCGGGCCGGGAGCCTCCGCGGGCCCCGTTCTGCGGCTCTCGGCCGAGTCCCGCCCCGCAGCCGTGGGGGATCGGGGCCCGAACGCCTGCACATGGGGCTGCCCCAGGGCAAAGGCTGCCAGCTCCTTCCCTGCCCGGGGCTGACCCTCGGGACAGCCCAGCGCAGCCCTGCAGGAAAAAGGAAATGTGGGGTCCCGAGAAGGTCGGGATGTAACCCTGAACAGGGCTGCATGAGAGGGGCTGGATGTCCCCCTGAACCCATTGGTCCCTTGCCAGACCCCAGGGGAGCCCAGCGCAGGCAGCTGGTCCTGCCTGTATGTCCTGCTGGGCTTTGGCTCTGCAAAATCCCACACCCACCTGCCCTGTCTCTGTCTCCAGCATCCATCAGCTGAGGAACAAGGTATCAGAGGAACATGAGGTCATCAAGAAGAAGGAGCTGGAGACTGGCCCCAAGGCATCCTATGGCTATGGGGGCAAATTTGGAACAGAGCGGGACCGAATGGATAAGGTAAGAGCTGTGGGAGGCTTCCCTGAGCCTCAGTGGAAAAGTGCTTTTCTCATAAAGGAGGGGGTATCTCTGTTATGTGGCTTGACCCTGAAGGAACAGCATGGAGAGTTTGCATGGCTGCACAGATTCACACATGTCCAGCTAGCCCATACTCTGTCTCCAGGATCTGTTTGAATTCATTTGTGTAACTCGTCTCTACAACTTCTTTGCAATGCTCCCTTTAGCTGTGAAAGTCTTTCTGGGGCTGTTCAAGTCTGCTGCATAACAAATCTGGTGCCTCCCTACTTGTGCTTGCAGATCTAATGTGTAGTAATTCCCTCCTCATATTCTGCATTACAGAGCTCATATCTCCCTGAGATAAAGCCCTAGACATCAGATCTGGTCTATGTTTTGTGATAATCATTATCATGCTTCTGCACCTTTCAGCATTTAATGCTTCTTTCTCAGAAGTGAGATGTTTAGATCGAAGTAGAGTTCCATAGGTGAGGTCACTGTGGGATTGAGCAATACCAGGATGGCAGGGTGAGAAAGACTGTCGTCAAAAATTCCCTGCTCTCCCTGCCAGAGCTGTTGTAGTCAGGAACTGCACACACTTCTCAGGAGAAGGGGCAGAAACTGAACACTTGCAGCATCCTGGTGAAACCGGAGAAAAGCCAAGAAGTTGCTCAACAAAAGCACCCTCACTCTGGTCCAGCAGAGTCTGAGCACAGCTGTTCCATTTTGGCATAGCGTCTGTGGTTCCTGGCCACAGCACCTCCAGCAGGGAGAGCAGGTTCCTGGCTTGGCTTGTGGCCAGGTTTGCTGGCCCTCACTGTCAGATACAGAAAGGGGAAACGGGTGCCAGAGCTCTGCCTGGACTTCTCAGCTGTATGTGCCTGTCTGCACTTGTCTCTTGTCTACCCTGTGATTATCCACCATGCAGCTCCACCAGCACTTGAGAGCAGGTGGCATTCAGCATCCCACGCTTTGCTTAATGAGCTGGCAGTGGGGACATTTGTGAGATGACAGCCCTCGAGGCTCCTGCCAGGCCTCTGAGCAGAGCTGCTGCTGGCAAAGGCCACGTGGAGAGCCTGGGCACCATCGGCACAGCCGGCTTGGACCTGTTACCTGTGGCTGTGGGCGTGTCAGCAGCGTGTGGGAGCAGCTGTGGTGCCTCTGCCTGTGCACCATGATGCTCATGTCACACTGTCTCTCCTCTCAGTGCGCAGTAGGACACGAGTACATTGCTGATGTTGGGAAGCACTCCTCGCAGACAGATGCAGCCCAGGGCTTTGGTGGCAAGTTCGGAGTCCAGCGGGACCGAGCGGACAAGGTGTGTTGGACAGTGCAGCTGAAATCCATACCTGTGGCCTGTGCTGGCCCTGGAGCACTGCCACATGCCAGCCTGGGGCTGTTCTCAAGGCTCAGGGCATGTAGGATGTACCCTGTGCCCTGGTCTCGCTGAAGCACAGCTCAGCTGTGTGCAGGGCAGTGGCCCCACAGTGTGGGGCAGCTGTGGACATGGCTGGTGTGCATTGCTGTGGTGGGCCTGTCCCACCAAGGCAGAACACTGTTTCTCCGGGGGCTGTGGTGTTTGCCCCTGCATGCTGCAGCACAAGACAGGGAGCCAGTGACAGCCTGGCCCCAGGGGAGGGAGGCTGAGACCCATCTTGGCCCTCAGGATCATTGACAGTCCTCCACTTTTTGTTCCAGTCAGCACTGGGCTTTGAATACAAGAGTGAGGTGGAGAAACACTCATCCCAGAAAGGCAAGTCCATGGGCATGTGTGGCCCCTTGACCCTTTGCCCAGCTTCTCTTCTGCTCCCAGTATCCTGTGCTGTGGCACAGTCTCCTGTCTCTTATTTCAGATTCCTGTTCCCAGTCCATCTCCCTTGTGGCCCCATGTGCCACTGTCCTTGGCACATCTGTTTTCTTCTTTCCTCCTGGCCTGCTGTGTCTCCTGGTGCCCTGACCCCGTTTGCCTTGTGCCCCATTCCTGTGGGCTCTCATCCGTGATGCTTCCTAGCATCCACTCTGTCCCCTCCAACCCTTCACGTTCTGTGGTGTTTTCCATAATCTCTGCTGCTGTCCCATCTTCCTGGGGGGCCCTCCCGAGTGCTGCTCCCTATCCTCTCCTCACCAGCCCCATGCTGGGGGCAGCATTTAACTCCATGCTCCACCTCAGATTACTCCAAGGGCTTTGGTGGCCGTTACGGAGTGGAAAGGGATAAGGTGGACAAAGCAGCTGTGGGATTTGACTACAAGAGCCAGGCAGAGAAGCATGACTCTCAGAAAGGTGAGCCCTGGCAGCCAGGTGAGCTGGGGAAAACTGAGGGAGCTGGGGGTGCTGGAGGGGGTGGGGGAGCTGGGGGAGCCAGCTGAGGAGGGGGAGCAGGCAGTGTCATGGCTGGAGCTGGGGACTGTGCCCACGAGGACTATGGGCACAGTGCAGGGCATTTGCAGTCTTCTGCAAGAATGGTGGAAGAGCTACAGGCAGCTGTTGGGAAGGGCCAGGTGAGGAAAGCCATTGCAATGTGCATGGCTGCTAGAAAGAGTTCAGGCTAAAGGAAGAGGAGCAGAAGAGTTCTGTGGGCATAGGGATCTCTTGACAGCATATTACCAAAGGAAGGGAGAAGGGGAAGCTCAGGCAGGTGCTAATAGCAGGTGACATAGCCCAGGGAGGAGGGAGGGCTGTTGCTGCAACACCAGTGGGGAAATCTGACCTTGTTCCATGTCTTTCTCTAAGTCCTGGGCATGGAAAACCTGTGAGAACAGCCTGAGCTCACACTGCTGCCACTCGTCTCCTTCCCTCCCTTGTGTGTTCTCTTCCATGCCCTGATCTGGATCCCTGTGGCTGAAGACTATTCTGTGGGCTTTGGTGGGAAGTTTGGGGTTCAGAGGGACCGTCAGGACAAGAATGCCCTTGGCTGGGACCATCAGGAAGAAGTGCAGCCCCACGCATCCCAAAGAGGTCAGGCAATATTGCCAGAGGTGGTAGTAGTTTCCTTGGAGCACACACAGACCTGTGTCTGGAGCTTGTGGTTCATAGTAAGAGATCCAGCTGCTGAAAACAGAATGTGTCCAGCACTTTGCAGCACAGTGAACCCCAAAGCACAAGGGGAGAGTAGGTGGGAGCTTGGATCAGTGGGAGACACGCAGTGTGGTCCCTCAGTCAGGACTCCCAGACTCTGCCATTCCCTGTGAGGGACGCTCCTAACCATGAGCTCATTGTAACCTCGCTGCCCTGGATCTGCTCAGATTTGCTCTGTGTACACACGAGACACGCTCCAGAGTCACGAGCTCTCACAGAGGAATGAGGCAGAGCAGATCCCAGGAGTGCCTTTTGTGCAGCATGTTTGACCTCCCTGAACAGGGCCACACTCCACTCAGGTGGGGTGACTGGCCTCACCCTGGTGCTTTGGGCTCGGGTTGGCAGCTACAGCCCTGCACACCTGTGCCCTTAGTTGAAAGGAGGGAGGGATTAGTCCTAAAAGCTACTAGATAAAGCACTTAGCTTTATCTATGTCTCATCACAAGTGGAATTAACTAGAGATAACATATGCAAACTCATTCCACTGGTCACAGCATACTGAAGACAGAGGTGCGCACAAAATACTCTAAAATAACTTTTTTTTTTTTTTCCACACAGACTATGCCAAGGGGTTTGGAGGCCGTTATGGGGTCCAGAAGGATAGAGTGGATAAGGTAAGACTGCTGCAGCCTGCAATTGCTTCCTTGTAACCGCTGCTTTTTGCCTAGCTGAAAGAGAAGGGATTCCCCCAGGAGAGCTGAGATCCCAGTACCCAGTGCAAACTGTGGAAGGAACTGAGCGTAAAATACCACAGGGTGCAGAGGAATGCAGCCTGGGGAGACTAATGCAGTGCATGGCACTCATCACCTCTCACTTCTCTGCTGGTTGTTACCCTCTGCAAGTTTTTCACTCCTGTCAAGAAGTGCCTCATGGTCTGTTCAGGTGCTAAATATTCCTGCACACCTTGACAAACTCCAGCAGGGATGAGATTGGCATAGATAAAATGCTGTTTGTGAGAAGAGGTCACCAAGTTGCTGGTTCAGGTTTTGTGTTTGGGCTGACACCAGGCAAAGCCTCGTCTACCATCACATCTCAGAGTGCACTGAGATCAGTTCTGTGCTTGGCAGGCTGCCCTGAAGGCTTGGTCCCCAGAGGGGGTCCTTCAAGTGGCTGTGATCTGCGTGGGTGTGATAGCCTAAAAGATGCAGATCCTGGGGCTTTGGGGCATTTGGAAGAGGAGTGAGAGTGCCTTCCCTGAAACCTCCTTCCCTTGCTGGAGGCACAGGGCTGTACTTGGTACAGCACCAGCATCACTTCCTCGGGAGCTGGAGGAAGCAGGGGAGGATGCAAACACCTGAAACCACCTGCATGATCCTGTTCCTGCTGCATGCTAGCTGGGCTGCCACAGAGGGGGAATGTTGTCCTGCCCTCAGAAGAGATTAGCACTAGCTCTGAATTTAACAACAGCAAATGGGGGTGCACTGACAAAAGGCACACCTTGTATGTGATCAGAAACAACATGCAAAAGCAACATGCAAAACCACGGGCATTGCCCAATGGGCTGAACAATTCTTTCACTTCTTCTTGCAGAGTGCTGCTGGCTTTGATGAGATGGCAGCTCCCACCTCCTCCTATGAGAAAACAAGACCCCTGGAGGCAGGTGAGACCTGAGTACCAGCCCTGGGCTTAGGAAGCTGTGGGCCTCACAGTCCCTCTGTGGCAGCCTGCTGGCAGGTGTGTGCTGTGGTGGGGTAGGGGTTTTACCTGTGCTGGAGGGCAGGAGAAGGTGGCTGACTGCAAGTTTCTCTGGAAGAGGCAGCGGTCGGGGTTTCTCCTGGGTGCTTGGGGTGGTGGAAGGAAGACGCAGGGCTGGGTCAATCAGCTGTCTCCTCACAGGAGCCTCCAGTGGCGCCAGCAGCCTGCGGTTGCGGTTTGAGCACATGGCCCAGTCGGCAGAGGAGGAGAGCAGGAGGCAGGCAGAGGAGGAGCGGGTGAGGCGGCAGGCCCGGGAGCACCGGCTGGCTCAGCAGCAGGTGAGCCAGGGCTGTCTTGCCATGTCCTCCAAGACTCGTGCCACAGACTTTTCTTTGGAGCCTTGCAGCTCCATGTCCTTCTGTCTGGTCTCTTGAGAGTAACCTCCTGCCCAAGCTGCTTCCCTGCATCTGCCAAGAATGGCCACTGAACTTCACAGTTGTCACTGGACTTTCCTTTTCAGCGCACCAAACACTTATACAAGAACATATCTGCACTCAGCCTGTGCTCTAGCCTCAGCTTCTTTTGCCTCTGGTGCAACAGTGTGGTTACTGCTCCCCAGCACTGCTGTCCCAGCAGTCTATGTGGGATGCATCCCAGCAAACTGGAGATGGTCCCCAGCCCCTCTGTTTACCTGTCTTCCCCCGGTTCTGTTCCTGCACTCAGAGGACAGTGCAGTGTTAACAGTGGACCTGTCCCCCCCAGCATTGCTCCTCTTTGGGGCTGCCCAACTGTTGTCACCAACCTGCGAGTGCCCACGCCCAGAGCAGGTTTGTAGGTGGAGGAGAACATTCTGAGTTGCTCTGCTGGGAATGTGAACAGCCATTGTTCAAAGGGACTGAGCAGTCTGATGGCTTTTCCCCAGCAGGAAATCCCTCAGAGAGAGAAGGAGCACACTGGGACTGGGGCAGCCCCTCCAGCCGTGCCAGCAGGGGTGCTCAGGGGTGCTGCTGGGGACCAGCCTGTGTCACCAGGAGAACAGGTACCAAGGCAGCCTGGGAGGGCTGGGGAGGGAAGCAGGCAGAGGGGATTGCACCTGAGAGGAGTGTGCTTTATGTGCAGCCCTGCAGGAAGATGTGGAGCACAGCCAGGGTGGGAGAGGCTTTGGAAGGATAAGGGGGAGCATTGGGCTTGGGATGGGCCATGGCTGCACAGCACCTGACCCCATGGGATACTGCTGACCCCATGGGACAAGCTCTGGGAGCAGGTCAGTGCAGTGGCACTACCATGGGCTGTGGTGAAGTATGAGCAGAGTTCAGGCACATGAGTCCTGAGGGTCTCCAGGACAGCCCCAGCTGCTGGTTCAGCATGGCTCAAGCAGCTCTGCTGTTTCCCTGGTGTGCAGGGGATGGTGTTCCATTTGTGCCCTGGCAGCAGTAAAGGGGCTGCCTTGTGTCAGGTGCTGGGAGTCAGGAGAGAGTTGCCTGTGGTGGGTGCCTTGCAGGTGACTTTGCTGTCACTTTCCCACCTCATGGCAGGAGGCCAAAAGGGACGATGAAGAAGTACCACCCACTTTGCCACCAAGGCCTGCAGATCTGGATGCAGAGCTGTGCAAGGTCCCCAGCCAGGGTCAGCCCACCTACAATGTAAGTTTGGATGTTGGTGGAGACTATGAGGAGCTGCCAGAGCCCTCTGACTACTATGACAGCACCAGTGGAGGTGCTGACTATGAGGAGCTGCCAGCCCCTCTGGAAAAGCTGGATGCCACCTATGACTTTGGAGGAGATGGAGGTGAAGACTATGAGGTGATCCTTCCTCAGGAGCCCAGACAGAGCCATCCCCACCTGGGTGAGTACTGATGGAATAGCCCGTGTCTTAGGAATCTTGTACCTGTCCACTAACCTCACTGGATGTATGGGACAAAATGCAGAGGGAATTTTTATCCTGAAATGTACTGTGGTCAGGATAGCAGCTTCTGGTGATGGAGACTTGGTTGTGTCCCACTCCCCTACCCAGCTCTAAGGTGCAGATGAGCTGAACGGGATGCTGGACCGGACAGCAGGAATCTGCTGGATCAGGGTCTGGGCAGGAGGCTGCCACAGGCCTGGGAGAAGCTGGATGTGGACCAATGCTCTTGCTGCAGTTTTCTGGCATGTACTGCCCTGGACCCTGGGAATGACTCTGATTCAGCCCATTTGTCATATGGCTGGTGTTCCTGGGACCTGCTGTGGTGGAATCTCTGGTGTGAGGAGTGCAGGTAGCCTTTGTCCAAGCACAGGAGCAAAGTGCATGGGCTGCTGTCGGTGCTTCTGTCACAGTTGGCATTGCTGGCAAGTGAAGAGGTTGGAGTTATTCTCAGCCTTTTTCTTGGGAGAGGAGCATGAAAGATCATGATCCAACTGCTCTCCTTGAGGGAGGGGAGGGAAGTCACTCCTTGCTTTGGGCTGTGGTGCACCTCTCCTTGCTGACAGGGTTTGACGTGCTTCCCCAGAGTTGGGCTGGAGGGTGGCCCTGACCAGGACTGTGGGGATGCTTCAGCCTCTGTCTCATCTGTGTGTCCTGTGTCCTGCAGGGAGCACGGACAGTGCTGCTGAGGGGCAGAGCCCCGGGATCTGCGCAGTGGCTCTCTATGACTACCAAGGAGGTGGGTCTGCCCTCAGGGCTGGGGGAAGGCGCTGTGCCCGCAGGGGGTTCACTGCAGCGGGGAAAAGACTGGGACTTGGTGCTTTAAATTTCTTCCTCCTGGGAAGCACAATGAGATCTGGCTTGGGAACATCATGGTGCAGGAATGGTGTTCTCCAGTTTTGTACTCCCAGTAAAAAAAAAATCACTTCTCCTCTCCAGCTGGAGGCTCAAAAAGGCAGAGATCACGGGTTGAGATAACAATTTTGGAAACAGCAATAAGAAAGTGAACAGTAACAGCAACAATGTTAATAGCAAAAGATGTAAGAAAAAAAATTATTCACATGGAAAAACACCCAGCAATAGAGAACATTGGATGGCTCCCTCCACCACATTTTCTCAACCCAGTGTTCCTTGGAACCAAGAGTCCCTTTCCCCCACCCTGGCAATGACATGAGGTGATACAGAATAACCTCCATGTCTTGGCCATGGCTACTCCCAACGACTGCAAATATTAGTCTTGTCCTGGCCCAGAGCAGGACAGGAGCAGAGAAACTTCATCTTTCATCTGTGAGGTCTTCTCTTTCTCTGCTTTGTCTGTGCTGTGGGATGGGGGTTGGGTGGGGTAAACTCTTGGGGTTATCAGAGCACTTGTTCTGTCTTCTGCCTGGGGGAAGGTGGGAGGAAGAAGGTGAACCAGCTCTCTCTGGGGTTCTCTTTGCATTGTGACTGTCTTTTCTTGACAATGTTTGCAGATGGAGATGATGAGATTTCTTTTGATCCTGATGACACAATCACACACATTGAGATGGTGGATGAAGGCTGGTGGCGGGGACAGTGCCATGGCAGAGTCGGCCTCTTCCCAGCAAATTATGTGAAGCTTCTGCAATGAAATTATAGCACAGTGCAAGCTGCTTCCTTCCCACCTTTTGTGTCTGTCATGGTTTGACACTGGGCACATGCCAGACACCCACAAAAGTCACTCATTCACCCTCCTCTACCACAGTTTGGCAGAGGAGAGAAAAATTTAATGAAGCTTTGTGAGCTAAGGACTGGGAGAAAACACTCCAAGGGCAAAATAGGCTTGACTTAGAGGTACAAAGGCAATTTATTACCAACAAAGTCAGAGGAGGATAATGAGAAATAAAAGAAGCCCTTAAAACACCTTTTTTCCCCCAACTCCTCCCTCCTTCCCACCAACACTGCAGGGAGACAGGTATGGGAGTTTTGGTCATTTCATCACTGAGATTTTCTTCCATTGCTCTGGGAGAGGAGTCCTTCCCCTGTGAGATCGTGAGGTCCCTCCCATGGGAGACAGTTCTCTGTGAACTTCTCTGACACAGGTCCACTCTCATGAGCAGCATTCCTCCAAAAGCTGCTGCAGCATGGTCACTGTTCCACGGGGTGCAGTGCTCCAAGGACAGGCTGCTCCAGCCTGGCAGCAGGGCCCCCTCTCTCCACTGGCTCTCCCACTGGATCACAGTCTCCTCCAGGCATCCACTGCTCTGGCATGGGCACTCCCCATGGGCTGTGGGTGGATCTCTGCGTCCCCCTGGATCCCCCGGAGCTGTGGGTGTATCTCTGCATCCCCTGGAGCTGTTCATGGCTCTCTGCATCCCCCATGGCTCCCCAGGGGCTGCAGGGGCACAGCTGTCTCACCATGGTCTCGCTGCAGCTGCAGAGGAATCTCAGCTCTGGCCCCTGGAGCACCTCCTGCCCTTCCTTCTGCACTGACCTTGGTGTCTCCAGGTTGTCTCCTTCACATGTTCTCACCTTCTCTGGCTGGAATTGAAATTGCTCCTCACTTGGATCATGGAGGTGTTTCTATCATCTCTCATTGGCCCACCAGGTTGTCTCCTTCACATGTTCTCACCTTCTCCTCTTCTCTGGCTGGAATTGAAATTGTTCCTCACTTGGATCATGGAGGTGTTTCCATCATCTCTCATTGGCCCCGCTGTGGCCAGCAGCACGTCCATTTTCAGAGCCACCAGAGGTTGGCTCTGCTGGACATGGTGGAAGATTCCAGCAGCTTCTCACAGAAGCCACCTCTGTGCCCCCCACTACCAAATACCAGGCCATGCAAAACCAACACAGTCCACCTCTTGCCTCTGTGAATCACATATTGAAGAAGAAGAAGAACAACAACAACACAAAGTGAGCACAGTTTGTTTGTGCTTTTTTCTAGCCAAAGAGGGGGAGGTAAGAACCTGTGAGGGAAACAACCTGGAGACAGCAAGGCCAGTGGGAAAGGAAGGGCAGGAGGTGCTCCAAGTGCTAGAGCTGAGATTCCTCTGGAGGCCATAGTGAGACCATGGTGTGAAATGTTTTCTCACAGTCCTTATCTCAACTCATGAACCCTTCATTTTTTTTTTCCCTCCTCTGTGACAGGGGAGGGTGTGTGAGTGACTTTTGTGGGTGCCTGGCATTTAGCCAGTGTCAAATCATGGCAGCCTCTCTCTGCTTTAGCCTTTCCCATGTTATCAGCTTCATTTGGCTCAGCTTGTTATATTCACATTCAGAGAAATATCAAGGAGCAAACTGGCAGTGCCAGAAGGAATGTTTTGTCTTATGCCCAAGAGGATTGTGATTCCCATCCAGCTCCAGGTGGGAAAGATGTGGTGGTTTAAGAGCATATGAGTGCAATACAAGGTCTCTTCTATCTAGGCTGCCCCACCTGTCAGCCAGCAGGAGTGTGTCCTGTTCCCAGTGGGGCAATTTCCAGAGCAGAAATAGCAAATCTAGTCCAGGCAAGGCAGAAGGGATGTGAGCTGTGGGACCTTTGTCAGTTGCTGTGGCTCTAATCAGGGGTCAGGGAAAAGAGCCCTGCGAAAGCCAAAATTGTGTTTATTCCGAGGAAGGGTTTCCATTTTTAGGAGAAGCCATATTTGCAGCATGGACCAGAGAAACATGAAGATGGTCTGTGTGACGCTTTTGGGCACAGGTGTGTCTGTCCCTGGGGCTGTGCCCTCCCTCTCAGCTTCTGCTCTGGCCTGGCTCAAACTGTGTCCCAGTGATTCTGTGACAGCTCGTGTCCCCTGTGCCTGCTGGAGGCTCCTGAAAAGCCTGACTTGTTCATCACAGATGTGAGGAAAAGGCTGGGCAGGTGGGAAGCAGGACAGGAGGAAACATTTTATTGTTAATGTTTAAAAAACAGTTTTCAGAAATGCAAAGTAAAGCCCTCCCTCAAGCCCATACCTCTTAGGTGGATGTTCAGCTGTGGGAATTGTTCTTCTGTGGGATGCAGGTACCATCACAGCAGGAATAAGCCAGGGACAGCTGAGTAGAACAGCACCTGAGGTTCTGTGGAACTGAGGGACTGTGGGAGCACGCCTGAGAGGCTGCAGAAACACCTGAGGTTCTGAGGGACTGTGGGAGCACACCTGAGGGACTGCAGGAACACCTGAGGGACTGAGGGGCTGTGGGAGCACACCTGAGAGGCTGCAGGAACACCTGAGGGACTGAGGGGCTGTGGGAGCACACCTGAGAGGCTGCAGGAACACCTGAGGTTCTGAGGGACTGAGGGGCTGTGGGAGCACACCTGAGGGACTGCAGGAACACCTGAGATTCTGAGGGACTGAGGGGCTATGGGAGCACACCTGAGAGGCTGCAGGAGCACCTGAGGCACTGTGGGAGCACAGCCCATCACTGCCACTGCCAGCAGTGTGTGCAGAGGGTGCCTCTGTGACACTAAAGCTTTAGAGTGAAGTGTGGTTTGCAGGTGAGTTCTGGACCACCCTGCAGCTGACCAAGCCTGTACTACCTGTGCAGGAGTGTGACATTCCTGCTCAGTGTTTGATCCTGGGAACACCCAAAACTGCCTGTCACAGGAAAGGTGCATTGGGATTCAGGTTAAAAATTATCAATTTTAATGTAACTTTTCCTGAGGTTTCTTGTTTAGGTTTCTAGTTGGTTGGCTTTGGGGTTTTTGTTTGGAGTGCTTTGGGTTTTTTGTTTCTCTGAGGCAGCTTCCCCAGCCTTTTTCCTTGTGCAGTTTCTGCTGTTTCCTGCTGTCCCCTTCCAGGGGCTCCTCAGAAGGGTGTTCACTGGTCAGACTCTGATGTGTCCAGTGACACTGGACTGAGGGTGCTTCAAGGACTTTTTAGAATCCAGAAGGGTGTATAGCAAGGAGGGCTGAGGGGCTCACAGCCTGTCTGGATAGGAGCAACAGCCCAACCCAGCAGATGGGTTACAGAAACATTTCTTTCCCTGAAGAGTAAAATCAGCATGTGTTGTGTACTAAGAAATGGCAAACTGATCCCAGCAAGGCTGTGTGCCTCCTAGTCCCAGTTCTGACTCTCCGGTGGGTTTCTTTGGGAACAGATTAGATACTGTTGGGTATCTCTTGGTAACAGCTACACATGAGCGTGTTTGGGTCAGCCGATGTAGGTTGTGTGACTGCAGGTGTCACCTGCCTGTGCCATCTCCCTTGCCCTGGTGAGCCCCTGCTCCTGGCTCTGCTGCAGTGCTCGTGTGCCTCATGTGCACACCTGCAGATTTGGCCACTTCCTCCACAGCCACAGAATCATTTGAGCTTGGGCCCCGCTGCAGACCCCCATCCAGTCCTCAGCCACCATCACCCAGAGCCACAGCACACACAACAGCTGCACAGGGAAATTTTTCTGGCCATAAAGCAAAGCATTTCTGGTGAGGAGTTCAGTGCCACCAGCTCTGAGCTCAGTGCCAAGACCTCCGTATCTGAGTGCAGCACTGAGGCTGTGGGTGGCCTGTGCAAGCTGCTGTGCTTATGTACAGAGTGCTGCAGAGCCTCCCTGGCAGCCTGGGGAAACCCAGCAGAGATCAGATTTGAGGCCAAGGCACGTGGGGACAGTGGCTGGTGGGACAGCCCCTCTTGCTCAGGCCAGGTTTTGCAGTCCAAAGCACTGCCCTTGTTCTGCACAGAGCCTGACTCAAGACCTGTGGCAGCCCTGAGGCAGAGCTTGGCTATGCTCAGGGCCAGCACATGTCTGGCTCCACATGAATTTGCCTTTTGCACAGCTCACTGGCAGTAGCACAGATGCAGCGCATCCTGTGCCAAGCTCGGCACATGGCATCTGGAAAATAAAGACAGAATCCTGGACCTGTAGCCTTGTTCCTGACTTTATTTTGCCATTCTGCTCTCGGTGATGCGCTGAGGGTGAGACGAGCGATGGCAGTGTGCCATGTGCTTGGGCTGGGAGCCTCAGGCTGGCCGTGCTGTCGCAGGCGTCCCACAGATGGACACGGCAGTGGCAGTGCCATGTTGGCAGCCTGTGGCAGCCCTGGCTGGTGCTGCTCAGGCATTGTTGCCTGGGGAGCCTCGTGTGGCACTCACCCGCACAGCCTTCCGCAGGGCCGCCCACACCTCCTGGTTGCGGAGGCTGTAGACGAGCGGGTTCAGCATGGGAATGACGATGCAGTACAGCACAGAGACCAGCGTGTCAGCTGCCGGGGAGTAGCCCGAGCTGGGCCGGTTGTAGTTCAGGTTGGCTGCCACGAAGTACAGGGTGACCACGATCAGGTGCGCAGAGCAGGTGGAGAAGGCCTTGCGCCGGCTGGTGGCCAGTGGCATCCCAAGGACGGTGGCCAGGATGCAAAGGTAGGAGATTACGACGAGCAGAAAGGGACTGAGTCCCACAAAGATGCTGGAGATGTGGAGGGCCAGCTCATTTGGGCGGGGGTCGCTGCAGGTGGCCCCCAGCAGCGGCGGCACATCGCAGAAGATGTGCTGGAGCCGGGCAACCCCGCAGAAGGAGAGCCGGGCCGCCAGGAGCGTGTGCACGGCCGAGTCCAGCAGCCCCCAGAGCCAGCAGCCGGCGGCAGCGGCGGCGCAGGTGCTGAGGCGCAGGGCCTGGCTGTAGCGCAGCGGCTGGCACACGGCGGCGAAGCGGTCGTAGGCCATGAGGGCGAGCAGCGCGCACTCGGCCCCCGCGCACCACATCAGCAGGAACATCTGCGCCAGGCACCCCGCGTAGGAGATGGTGGCCTGCGGGCGCAGAGCGTTCGCCAGGATCTTGGGCACCGTCACTGAGGAGTAGCAAAGGTCCAGGCAGGAAAGGTGACTAAGGAAGAAGTACATGGGGCTGTGGAGGTGGGGATCCAGGGACACGAGGGAGAGTATTGCAGAGTTGCCCAGCAGCGTGGCCAGGTAAATGGCCAGGAAAAGAGCAAAGAGGAAGGGCCGGCCATGGGAAAAGCTCAGGAGCACAAACTCCGTCACCTGTGTCTGGTTCGTACCTGCCATGGGGCAAGCCGGGTCAGGCTTTGGGCACAAGTGAGCCCTGAGGAGGAGGGAGGACTGTGAGCCAGGGGACTAGAGCACAGCCCCTCATGAGGCAATGGGGTCCCTAGTGGCACAGCTCTGATCCCATCTCCCTGGTGGTTGAAAGTTTCCTGAGTTCAGATTTCACAGACGCTGGGATTTTGGAGTCCAAAGAGCTGTCGTCCTGTGTTGGGTACCTGATTGCAAAACAAGAACACAGAAAAACCCAAGAGCAGGGGGTATCCACCCACGCCTCTTGGAGTTCTTTACCTACTCAGCCCCTTGTCCTGATGATTATTCCAAGCATGTGTCCCTCCCCCTCCTGGATGTATTTATTCTGAGTAAATGTTTCCCTGCCCCTGGTCAGGTCACAGCATTCCCTGATGCTGTCGCTGAGCTTGCTCTTCCCCAGCCCTGG